AGGTTCCAACCATCTCTTTCTCTCGTCGTTCCATAGCGGGCAGTCATATAAGATGTGGTGGATCTCGTAGTCGCCATCTTCAAAGTGCGCACCACAGCAGGGGCAGCCATCCTCTGGCAAGTGGTCATGCGGGTGGCCCGCATTGCGCAAGAAGTCCTTTCTACGTCTTGTCGTCCACCAAGAGGAGGTTCGGATTCGAGTCAGCCAGATAATCCCTTCTGCAGCAAAGGGCATATGGGCTGCCGCCCGTATGTATCGGCGTGTCTCACCAAATAGACTCTGGGTGTATAGTCTGGTAGCTTCGTTGTTCGTGTGTGCATTTTCGAAACTGCGGGTGATGATGCGGAGTTTTAATTCTTGCCGCTCTCTTGCGGTTTTTCGCTCCAACGTCTCTTCTTCAGAGGGAACGTATTCATAACGCTGCGCCTTGCCCTCTTTGATGAGGGTCTTAACAGGCCATGCGTCGTATAGCTCCACTCCTTGAGTCGTCGTGTTTATCATCTGTTTGATCATGCAAGCGGTTTGACCTGACCAAGAACGTCCCCTGTTTTTTAGGCGGTTCTCTTGGTTTACTAGGATGCTGAGCCAAGACTTAAGCTTGGGGGCCTTTTGCCATAATCTCATCCTAAGGTCCGCCATGCGCTCCTCTATCGTTGGGATTCCTAATTCCCAGGACATAATCCTAGAGGCGTGCATGGTGCTGTTTGAGGGGGAGCGAAGGACGAGTTTCAGCGCTACATTGACCTGCGTCTGTATCAAGTCCGTTCGTTTCTGGCACATTCCAACCCACTCTCCTCCGTAGAGCCCAAGTGAGATTATTTTGGATTGGATTACTGCCAGTTTTATTTCCAAGGGGAACTTGGGATCCCGTAGGAATGCTCGCCTCATGTCGACCGCTGTCTTCACTTTCCCTGCCAGAGTTTTACAATGGTTCAATTCGTCCGTCCTCTCGTTGTCTCCAAATCGATCCGTGATCCATAATCCCAAATACTTATACTTGCGCACAACCTCTACCGCCTGTCCACTGATGGTGTAGGGTCGCTCTGCCAATCGAGCCTGCTCATCTTCTGAGCCCCCCACCATCATAACTCCACATTTTTTCGCGCCGACCGGCATGCACCAGTCAGCACTCCAACGGGAGACACCATCCAAGAAGGCTTGCGCGTCCTCCTCGGTCTCGCATAGACCGGCGACATCGTCGGCGAAAAGGAGGGCGGGACACTTGCGTATCCCTTGCGTTATTCCTGGTACAGTAGCGCCCTCTGGCACGTACTTGAGGATGTCATTGATGAACAGGATGAACAACACGGGCGACAGGGGGCAGCCCTGCCGTGTTCCACGAATCATGTCATAATAAGGGGTCGACTTGTCGCCGACTTTGACACAAGCTTTGGAGGTCGAGTATATAGAGCGCAATACATCTAAGAAGGGGCCTCGTATCCCCATTGCGTCCATTTTTTCGAATAGCGCCTCATGCATGACCTTATCAAAGGCCTTGAGGAAGTCTATGAAAACGATGTAGGTTTTGTCTCCTGATAATCTCCTTCTGCGGACGATCTCAGCTAGAGTGACAAATTGGGCGATGGCTTCTTCGTGCCGCCTAAAGCCCCCTTGTTCCGGCACTAGGATATCGTTTCCCTCCAAAATAGATGACAGTCTTTCGGCCATGGTAGCGGTTACTATTTTCATCGCCACCACGATGAGACTGACGCCCCGGTAGTTCTTCAAATCGGTAGGATCGCCTGTCTTGAACAGCGATCGGTTGGTTACTTTTGACCAGAATTCAGGTTGACGTTTCGTCGCCCAAATGCCGACAATGATGCGGTATAGGTGTCTGCCCATATCAGTGGCAGGCTCCTCAGGCAGGTCTTCAGCGGGGAGCGCAACGTAAATGTTGTCCCCTATTACCGTGCCTTGACTCGCAAGGTGTTGATGACACTCCTGCTTCAACAGTGCTTTATACACCTCCACTGGGATGTCATCATGACCTGGCGAGGTCCCAAGTGCCATTCTCCTTATTGCTAGGAGGAGACTTTGCCAGGTCGGGACGTCGTTAATACCGGGGAGGGCTTCCTCCTTTCTGTCGGTACACTTTCCCCTCCAATATTCCCGATTTTGTGAAAGTCGGTCGGGGTCGTCCTGATTGAGTTCCTTGTAATATTCAAATGCTCGATTCCTTATCTCTTCCTCGTCCGTGAGGAGGTTTCCCTTCTTGTCCAGCACCGGCTTGACACCGGCGCTGTCCCTCCCTCCAGTTGTTACCTTTGATTCCCATCGATGAAAAGCGCGCATCTCGTTGTCATGATAGAGTTTTGTTACGCGGGCCACTTCCTTCTGATGGAGGGCCGCTTTTCTTTGGCGTAAACTTTTCTTCGCTGAATGCCTGAGGAGTTTGTAGTTCCTCATGAGTTGGTCTGCATCAGCAGTACCAGCAGCTATCGCAGCTTCCCAAGCGTGTCGTGCCTTCGCCACCTTGTCTACGATTCGCTTAAGCCGGCGGTTCAGGAGGGGGGTCGACCCAACAACCTGTCTCTTGATCCCCAAATCATATGCTTCAGCATTGATGACGTCGCAGAAGCGAGCAGCACTCGCATCCAAGTCCTCGTCATCCTCTATCGGATCGATCGGTAGAACGCTCCACCTGTTGTTTGTAACAAGGGCCTTTCCATGGCCCTTCACCAGGTCTATGTTGAAGCGGTAGCGAGGTAATACGATGGTCGGTTCTGGCGCTTCGGCCAGAGGTCGCATTTTCGCTACAAGCGGGAAGTGGTCGCTGTTCGAACCCCAGTTGCGGACAACTTTTGCCGGGCGCATATACGCGCGGCAAGCGGGGCTGACGAGAATACTATCTACGTCCGTCCACTTCGAGCCTTTTCTGTGAAAAGTAAGCCCACACCCAGCTATGGGGAGGCATACGAGTCCCGTCCTTTCCGTCTTAATGCCCTTAATCAACTTCTCTCTCTTCATATTAAAATCTCCCATTATAATAACCACCGCTTGGGGGTCTTTTGCCATAATCGCTCTGTACTCGTTCAACACCTGGGTCAAGCGTTGGGTTCGTTCACTACGGTAATTCCCGCCTGAGGGAAGATATACCGAGATGACATGCCAGGGGGATTTTCCCCTTAGCTTTGCCACCCGAATGTGGATGAAACTCTGATCGACGCTTCGGCTCACTTCATAAGAAGGGTAAGCGTGGCTAACGAGCAAGGCCTGGCCTCGGAAACCGCTACCCGCTGGGCGGGTGTAGATTTCGTACCCTGGAAGGTGAAATCTGTATTTCTTTCGGCCAATAAGGGTTTCCTGTATGGCCAGGATCCCAATGTCCGCCCATCGGAGGAAGTTCTCCAATTCTGGCTGCTTAGCACCCATTCCGTTGACGTTTAAGGTCGCCAATCCCTGTTGTGGGGGCGGTCTAACGAAAGTGCGCATCGGAGGTTTTTCGACGGAGCGGTCTCTCCAGGACTTCCACACGTCTAATCTCCAGTGACTGGTTTGGGCGTTCGGACGCCACATGAAAGCAAGCTTGTACATCGGGAACTTGTAGTTTGTCAACGTTCCCCGTCGGCGCTGCTGCGCTGTCAGGTACATGCCCGTTTTAATACCGGCCGCAACGCGGGCTTCGACCCACAAATCCATGCGGGGAAATCCGTTTGGTTGACGGCAGGCTTGGACCCTAATGACTCCATCCAACACTTCCGGGGTCATGCGGTCCTTAATAATTTTCCAAAATTCAGACTTTGTCAAGCGTCCCGTGTTGAAAACACAGAAGCGCATCGGCGCCGTTGCCGGCGTCACAAAGTCTTGGGGGGCCGAAGAGTCAAGGTAGATGGGGGAATCTGTCTCCGCAGCTGCAGAGCCCATCTCATTTTGACTTGCAGATTCGACGCGAGGCAAGTGGAGGCGACGTGCCACCCAAGAGCTATTATCCTCGTCTAGAGCCAAATCTTTTCTGGTAAAGTAGCGTCTCTTCTGTCGACACCAATCTTCCAGCTCCGGCCATCCTGGTTGAGGGCGCCCATCGTTCAGCATATTATAGATCGCTCGTGGCGGCGGAAGCCGCCGGCCTACGAACCGGCCAATGCCCATGCGAGCATTCAAGTTTTCTAACCACGCATCATCATTGTCCACAGATGCGCGTGCATGGTCTTGCCATTCCAACTTCGCAAATTCTTCTCTCGCCCGAAGGCTGAGCAAGTCGGAACTCGCCCAGCTATTATCACCGGATGCGACGGACGAACTCGGAAGTCGGATGAACTCTGGGGCGCCCTCGGTAGAGGGTGTCCTGAAGCTGTAACCGTTATCCGAATTTGACCGTGAACTTTCCTTGTTATCCGGCAAGGGGACCTGAGTATTAATCGTTGTAGGAGCTGACATTACAACCCGTGGGCTAGCCGGGCCATCAGGGAGGAGTCCTAGTATAGTGAACATGAGGCGGACTAGGTTCTCATAACACTGCGTTCTAGACTTTCTACAGAGCCGTCAATTCCTATCGGGGGGACGCACCCGATCGCTCGGTCGAACAACCGAGCGATCGCGTATCGCATCCAACAGAGCCAATTCCCATGGTGGCGTACTAACGACAAGGGTCCCCTCTCTCGCCCCCCATCATCTATTGATGACGGCGAATTTGGGGCTTGTCGGAGAGAGAGGTGGAACGGGGACAACGCGCAGTGTCATCGCTCATAAATCGAACGCAGCGCTTCAAAGTCGTTTTCCGCATTTTTCAAGGTTTTCATCATAAAAATTTTCTTAGGCAGGGACCCTCGGCTTCAACCTCTCGATCAGAATCCATGTTTTTGCACACGGGGATCAAGAAATTTTCGTCTCGAGTCGCTTTCCCTTAGGGCGAAAAACGCGAAAAAAGCGTTTTCAAGATAATTCCCCAAAAAGAAACACCCACCTTTATTCCTCCACCAGGGAGGGTTGAACCGAGACCTTCGGCGGGGTGCATGAGACATTTAGTGGACGGACATACCAGTACACTATCTTGAGGGGCTTACAGTACTATCCAATTGTCAATCTTATACCAATCTTAATTACCTTAACCAAAAACGCGAAAAACGCGCTCTTGGAGACTCAGTCTACTCTTTTTGCACTCTTTTCATTGACTTCATTTTTGACGTCCTAGCGCTCAAAAGTCTACTCTAAGCTATTCAATCCCTTAGTCGAAAACGCGAAAATAGCGTTCAAGGGAATTCGGCCCGCACTTTTATTACACTTCGCTAATGAACGTCACGCTCGACATCCTAGTGGTCAAAAAGCCTGCCCTAAACCAGCGTTCTTTGGTAGACAAGGGACCGGTCAACAAGCCTTCTGAACAACAGAGCAAGCTTTCGCTCGCCCCGTCGCTCATCGGATTTATTGACCGGTCCCAGATAGATCATCTTATCTTCAAGAAGTTCCATCATTCAACAAAGCAGAAAACAGCGCGTAGTTGCGCCACGTTGTTAAGGATCGACTACACAATAAAAGAACGTCACTAATTAAGGAACGCTAAGGCGGCCTAGATCGTATCATTATGTACCGACTAAACCAAGTAGTACGACACGAAAAGCCTATCGGAATTAATGTTCGTGGACATTGTGGCCCCCCAAAATGTACACTGAGACAGTTCGTATAAGGTTCGGAATATAAAGCGCAGAACTACTTGTCCGCTCCGGCCTTCTTGTTGCCTCCACTCCCTCTTTCAGCCTTCTTTTCATCGGCCGGAGGAGCTTCTTCTTTCCCCTTCCCTCGAGCCTTCTTCGCCTTCTTTGACTTGGGCGCGTCAGCAACCTGAGTCTCCGGCTTAGGCCTAGCCACCCTATCCGACACGAACGACCACGTGGGCATCTCGAAGGAGACGAGACGCTGCTTTGTCGAACACGCATAGTGAAGATGCGTGTCCTCGCCGCAAACGAGGCATGGTGTTCTTCTTTCTACCTTGAGGGGCATTCCTCCTATTTCAAGCGCATGCTCGAACTTCTCACTGTAATGATCGAAGGGTAGATTTCCGTCGGGCTTCAACACGAGGCTACAGGCGACGCGATCGGTGGCAACATTGTTCTCCAAGACGACTCTCTCAAAACCCCCAGCTATGGCTTTGACGCCCGGAATAGCTCGTAAACGCGTGGTCAGTTCTTGATCTGACACGACAGGCAGAACGCCCGTTATATGAATCGCCACCGAAGTGACAGGGTCGGAAGTGGGGACCCTTATGCGGCCACCCAAGCCATGAGCAAGCTTAATCCAGCCTCTAGGCATCTTCAGCAGCTTGTGGGCCGCCTCAGGCGCGAGGGCGAGGAGGAACATGTACGTCTTGCCGGGCGAGGGGTAACGGTGGCAGAAATCAGGACGAGTCCCGAGTTGTTCGATGAAGAGGTTCGTAATCCCTAGGATCGAGTGGGGATTGTATGATGCATTGGGACCAAAAGAGCTGCTGTGTTCGCTAGCGCTCGCGACGGTAAACCATATCCACACCATCGCTTGCATCGTTTTCTTCATCGTCACATTCATAGAACGAAAGATTTGGCATCCCGCCCAGCCGTCTTCCACGCCGAAGTACTCGGACAACTTGGCGGTCGCAGACATAGCCGCGGCAACCCCCAATCCTGTCGACACCAAACGGGCGCCGGTATTTTCTTCGACTTCACCATCAGAACCTTCTGAAGCTTCCTTTTCAACCCTTTTGCGTTTGACGCTGCGCGAAGCATTGTCTGGCTTGGGGGTCTCTTTGGGCTTCTCAGGCGCCGCAGTATCCATCTCCGAATCCTCCGACTCCGACTCGGACACCTTAGCAGGCTGCTTCGGTGTCCTTCTTGGGGTCTTGTGCTTAGGGGTCACCGTTGACTTGGGAGACATGGTTTGAGAACTGTTTTAAGGTATATCAGCGAACGTTCATAATAGTCCACCCCAACAATTCAGCCGCAGAAGGTCTCGGTTCAAGTCACAGCACAGTCCGTCAGACCGTATCAATCGTTCTGTTCCAACAATATGCCACACTCCGCTGTAAAGTCATAATAGGCCACGCTCCACTCTCAAGTCATCATCATGTTGCGGACAGACGCTAAGTGCATAGGGAAGAGGTTCGGTTTGCAAGGGTAAGACAGAGATTGATCTTCAGGCCATAAGCGCGAAGTCGTCCAGCAAAGGGATTTCTCCCCATCAATTCATCTATACCATCCCGAAGCTCGTTTAACACCGCAATAAGCCATTGGGGCAGACGCTAAGCGCATTAGGAAGAGGTTCGATTTTCTAGGGCAAGACAAAGGTTGATCTTCGAACCATAGGTTCGAAGTCGTCAAGCGAGAGGATCTCTCCCCATCAATTCGTCTATGCCATCTCAAAGCTCGGTTAACGCCGCAATAAGCCATAGATAATCAATCAATCAAGTCCCAGCCATAGCTCGTAAACGCATCAGAGCCATCTTTCGTCAAGTCAAATAGTAGAGCCATCAAAAGTCAACCCATATCCAGCCGTCTTATCGACGGTATCGCACGCGGTGTTGTGGTTTTTGCC